TATTTTGCAATGAAAAAGAGGACCAACAGAGGTAAACAAAAGATTGAAATGGGGTTGATTGAATTCAAAGAAGTGTGCGCTGCTACTTTCTCGCAAATGAAAAACACCATGTTGTTCAAGTGTAAAACATAGAGACAATGGACCAATTTCCTTGTTGTATTATTGTAAGAATAACAGTTATTTGTAGGTGTACAGTAAATATATGTATTGAAATAAAATAAAAAAATCCCTAAATTTCTCTACATATTCTCTACCTATGATACTGCAATGTATAATATATGTAGACTTGTCTATGTGCATTCTGCAACACTCCCCCGAAAGTTGGAGTATAGATATTAATCATGCCCAACTTGTTAAAAAGATACTCCACATGATTTCTACTTAAAGCCTTCATAAATATATCACCCAACTTCTCCCCAGTCTTCACATATCAAGTGAAAGATGTGTTCTCTTAAATCTTCTAATGGATAATGTTACAGTGAACTTCAATTTGTTTTATTTGTTCATGGTACATTGAACTTGAGGCAATGTGAAGAGCAGCCTGATTATCACACCAAAGTTTTGCTAGAGAAGAAGGCTCCAAACCAATCTTAGTTAAAAGGTGATGTATCCATAGTATTTCACAGGTGGATTAAGCCATAGCTCTATACTCAGATTCTGTACTAGATCGAGATACAACATTTTGTTTCTTACTCTTCCAAGATACCAAATTTCCACCAACACATATACAAATAGCTAGTAGTAGATCTTCTATCATTCTTGATCCAGCCCAATCATCATCTAGAAAACACTCAGCATGAGTATCCTCGTAATCACTATACAATAATCCAAAGCCAGGAGCTCATTTCATATAGCACAAGATTTGTTTCAAGGCTGCCTAGTGTTTGACTATTGGTACAAACATGAATTGACTGACAATATTGAGCGCATAGGCAATATTTGGATGGATCATAGTGAGATAGTGTCACACCCCGAAGCTAGCCCAGGGTGCAAACACGGGACCTAGGATCACGAGTAACCCCAATTTAACCCTGTTGGCATAATCTTAAGTATACTAAAGAAAACTAAATCAATAAATATTGTGCGGAGGCTAAATCATGAAATATCTTAAAATGATTGGGAATACCCATATAATATCTGAATAAATGAAAACTAAGAGTTTGAGTACAAATGAAAAATCAAACTCTAACACTATAGTTAAATCTAACTGTCTGAAATAAGCCTCTAAATTGACTAGAAGTGCTAGGACATGCCCCAGCTAAATCTAGCAAAAACTGAAACTAAGACTAAAATGGAAAGATAACATGTCAGCTGTCCTAGAAGAATAAGGACTCACCACTGATGATGCCGAACTGAAGATCGGGAATCGATCTATGCGTTATCTGACTATTGAGGACCTGAACCTACATCACGAGAAGATGTAGCGCAGAGTATGCGTCAGTACTTGAAAGGTACTGAGCATGAACTAAATCAAAGCATAAATCTGAGCAATGGTAAGAGATAACACTTGAGAATATACAAAGAATACTGAACATGAAATACTGAATGCAATGACCAAGTTTATAACATACTGAAACTAAAATCTGAACTAAAACTTATAACATGGTCAAAGCAATAGAATCTAACTATATGGGAGGTACTAATAACTGACATAAAACCACATGAGCTAAATGTGTAGTCCGATGTATACTCCCCATCGAGAATACCCTATATACCCTCCCATAGGTATAGAGGCATACTGACGTGATCACTAAAATGATGCCCACGGAGGGGACTTACAACTTACGGGGCACATAGTTCTGGGACTTGGGATGACTGACCCTAGTACTCAGTATTAAGCTTCTCCCAATTGATTAAGTAATTTACAAATTATGACTGAAGTTTTGTAATACTGGATAGCTCAAAATACTGACATGCAAACTGAGAATGCAACATTAATATACGGGTAATAATGCATTTGAAAACTGAGGTATGTTAATATGTATAACTGAATTTACTAACCTAGTATGTATAATTCATGAACTAAAAGAACTACATAGCTAGGGTTTTGAGTTTATGCATGAAACTGGGCAAAACAATACTACAACATGATAATACGATTTGGATCATTCTATCAGCTAAAACCCAACAATTTCTAACATTCAAGAAACCCTAGGTCTAGATGATATTAACGGAATCAAGATTCTGACTGAAATATAGGGACCTAATGGGTGAAAGGAACTCACTAGTGAAATCCCACATACCTGGTGAAGAATTCCATAGAGAAATCTTTTAATTTCGGGGCTGGAACTAGTGAAGACTCGTTGCGTTCTTGGGAAGGATTTGGTAGGCTCTTTCTCCTCTTTACGCTCTACTTTTCTAGGTTTTGGTGAATGATTTGACTTAGGTAAGTTCTAGTTATGTTTCTAGGCTAAAACTAACAAAAACCACGTAGTTTAGGGGTCCAACGCATAAGGAAAAGACCAAAAAGACCCCTGACTTAACTGCTATCAGGGTCACCAGCGAACGGGACCGATGGACTGTCGATCGACCAATGGTCCGTGCTAGTCAATCGTCAGTCGTGACTGGGGGCTGGATTCTGAGGGTCTGACCTACGACCCTGGACCACGGACCGTGGTCTGACCTACAGTCCGTAGGTCCTGGCGCAACTTGACCCTAAGCCGATTTGTTTGTGGTTTCTGGGAAGAGGGTCATAGGTGCGAACCACGGACCTGCAGGACAAACCGTGGGTCCTCCTACGGTCCGTGGGTGGTGCCCATGGGTTCCACCTACAACACTATAAATTTGCAATCTAGTCTATTTTAGTATGCGGGGTGTTACAAATAGTTCAGTTTCCCAACTAACATTCTGAATTTTTCTGGATCATCAGGTGGATCAGCACCATCCTTAGTAATATGTACATTAGAATCTATTGGTGTGCCAAATGGCTCTACTCTCAACTTTCCTATTTCTGCAAGTAAGTCAAGTACATATCTTCTTTGGGACACGAAAAGCCCTTTCTTGCTTCTTGCTACTTCTACACTCAAGAAGTATTTTAGCTTCCACAAGTCTTTGGTATAAGCTTGGCATGAAAAAACATTTTCAGAGTTGAAATTCATCTACAATCATCTCCTATACTAACAATATCATCAGCATAGACAACTAAAAGAATAATATCAGTAGTTGATTGTCTGTAGAATACTAAATGATCACACTTGCTCATTTTCAGCACAAATTCTTGAATTACTTTGCAAATATTTTCAAACCAAGCACAAAGGCTCTGACCATATAAAGATTTCCTCAGATGAAAAACTTCTATGTACTCCCACTGAGCAACAACTCCAAGTGGTTGTTCCATATATATAGCTCTTCACGGAGATTACCGTGAATGAACACATTCTTGATATCCAACTAATATAAAGGCCAATCTTGAGAAGCAGTCAATGAAATAAACAAGTGGACAAAGGTGAGCTTGGCTACTGGAGAGAAAGTGTGGGAATAATCCACCCCATAAGTCTGAGCATAGTCTTTAGCCACAAGTCTGGCTTTAAGTATCGCAAAAGGACCATTTGGATTAATTTTGACCCTAGTGCAAGCATTAGTGACTTCTTTCATGGCTAAAACTTGTAACATATAGATCACACATAGATAACTTTATGTTGTTTCAAGTCTCTCTTCTCAATATAACAATATATATGTAAATCTAGTAATAGATTCACATCTTATTAAAATATTAAATTAACGTGAAAATACTCATGATAGATAGACTTACAGTACATAATATTAAAAAATGTAATAATACGCATGAAAAATAGACTCATAATATGAAAACATTAAATAATGTGACAACACACATAACAAATAGACTTATAATATGAAAATATTAAATAATATGACAATACAAGTGACAAATAGACTCTTGCACATACTATAAATTACCCTTGTGTTCCTCTCGAAGTTGTTCAGGTATTCGGGATTATTCAACCAAAACAACTTCTAATTTTCTTCTTTAATTAATATCTTTAGCAATGGAAAAATGGACTAGCAGCGGTAATAAAAAGATTGAAATGGAGTTGATTGATTAAGAAGAAGTGTGCACTGCTACTTTCTCACAAAGAAAAAATAACCTTGTTGTTCAAAAAAAGCGGATAGGATTACAACTCTGTTCGGAGAAAATGTTTGTGCTCTGCTCTCTCTACCAAGTGAAACAACATATTCCTATGGCTTCAAAAATATCGAAAACATAATTGTTAAATTTTTTGAATTGAAATCACACGAACGTCAACGCGATCATGCTGATGTGGACCAATGAAATGTCTGTGTGATATTTGATGATCATTTGTGTCTTTCTTGTTGGCAAAAGAGATGAACAACTACTCGATAAGATATTAAGAAATAGAGAGAAAAACTTAATCCTTTCTTATGCTTTAGAAAACAGCGATACAAGTTTTAAGTAGTACATGGAAAGCAACAAACCTAGAGAAATAATAGGGCACTAGTTTAGCATTAACGAATGACCTACTAACTGACTAACATAAACTAATTTGGACTCCTAAAGATTGTAAACTGGGAACATTAAAGACTCCTAAAAGTACTGCCACTAATAGCACTTAACTTTTGAATGAGTCAACTAACACTTCCCCTTTATTTAAAATCACACCTTCCCAACTGCAACTTGAAATATTCATGCTTAGCCTGAGGAAGAGACTTCGTAAATATATCCTCTACTTACTCGTTTGTGCTGCAGAATTTCAGCACTATTCTTCCATCAGCTACCAAAGTTCGGATAAAGTGATATTGCACATCAATGTGCTTAGTTCTCATATGAAAAGAGGGATTCTTAACCATAGCAATTGCTGATTTTCTATCAGAAAAAATCTCAGTAGACTCCTTTTGCTCGTAACTAAAATCTTCAAGTAGTTTTCGGAGCCATAAAGCTTGTCGTGCTGCTAAACTCATTGTTGTATAATCTTCCTTAGCTGTCGACAAAGCTACTGTCTCCTGCTACTTTGAACTCCATGTCACAGCTCCGGAACCAAAGTTGGAACAACTTCCGGAAGTGCTTTTTTGTTCATCCAAGCAGCCTGCATAATCACTTTCAGTAAAGCCAACCAATCTGAAATTTTGGGCTTTAGATTACCAGATACCAAAGTCTTTTGTTTCAGCCACATAACGAAGATTTCATTTCACAACACCAAAATATTTCTTTGTGGGGCTTTGCAATAATCTGGACACAGAACTAACAGAGAGTGCATTGTCAGGTCTAGTTTGCATTAGATAATTCAAGCCACCAACTAAACTTCTAAACAATTGTGTACTTGCTTTCTCAGTTCTATCTGCACGTTACAACTTTTCATTGATATTCATTGGTGTAGTTGCTTCATCACATTTCATCATATGGAATTTTTCAAAAGATCCTTTGCTTATTTCTATTGAGAAATAAAAACTCCATCTTTATCTTAGATCACCTCAAGCCCCAAAACATATTTCAGTAAGCCCAAGTTAGACATGTCAAAGTTTCTTATCATACTGGACTTGAAATCATTAACTAAAGACTTTGAGGAACCAAAGTAAATCATTTCATCAACATTGAGTCAAACCACCAAAAATTCTCCATTACCTTGTTTCTTCAAGTATAAAGTGGGCTCATTTTCACTTCTTGTGAATCTGCTATCCTGAAAGAATGATCAATTTTACTATACCATGTGCGTGAAGCTTGCTTTAATATCCTTTCTCCACGAACCGAGCTTTATGCTTTTGAATGCTCCCATAAGCATTGTACTTTGTTCCAAACACCCATTTGAGCCCTATTACATTCTTTCCTTCATGTGCATCAACTAACTCCAATGTAGAGTTTCTTTTAATTGCTTGCATATCTTCAGTCATAGCATTCTTCCATTCAGATTGTTCAATTGCTTCTTCATAACAAACAGGATCTGAAACAAGCAAAACAAATTGACACGAAGTATTTACACTATTAAAGTACTTAGGATTCAATTTATTTTCCCTTGTTGATAAGTGGAATCGGCTCAACAAAAGACTCATCAGGTGCAAAAGTTGTTGATGGTGCAATTGATGAGCTAACAGATGAACTTACACGAAAAGAATTGGGTGAATTTCCAAAATGTACTGCATGTTCTTCATCAGTAGATAGCAATTGGATATTGGATATCATGTTCCCACAATTAAATTTTCAACTTGCATCCTCATTAAACACAACATTTCTATTTATATTCACTTTGCCACTTATGGGATTATATAGACGAAATGCTTTGGATTGAAGACTATAGCCAACAAAAATGCATTTTCTAGATTTTTCATCAAGCTTAGAGTGAAAATTAACCAAAGCACATGCTATAAAACCAAAGATTCTTAAGTGGCTTACCCAAGGCTTCTTACCATTCCAAGCTTCAAGAGGTGTTGTGTTCCAAACACCCTTGTTGGTGAGATATTTAAAAGATAAACAACAGTTGCAACAGCTTCTCCCCAAAAATAATCTAGCGGGAGAAGGCACAAGTACCTCCCTAGACTATGATCGAAATCTCGTAGATACACCTTAACTAAACTAAGGTCCTATTACCCCCTGAACTCATTTTATATATAATATTGTACACCTTTTTGCTTATGTTGCACACCCCATCACTTAACTCAGTTGAGTTGCCTGGGAGATATTTGGATGCCACGTAAGCCAAAAAGGTGTACAAAATTACAAAAAAAATGAGTTCAAGGGGATAATAGGACCTTATTTTAGTTAAGGTGTGTCTCTGGAATTTGGGTCATAGTCTATGGAGGTACTTCTACATTTTCCCTAATCTAGTAGACCTTTTGCTTTCAGTGAACTTCGAGTGATTTCCACCACCATCCTATTCTTCCGCTCGACCACACCATTCTGTTCTAGTGTATATGGCGTTGTAAGAACCCTGTGAATTCCTTTCTCATCATAGAACAAATTGAAATTATTAGAAAGGAATTCACCACCTCTAGTTTGCTTCCCACAGATACATCCATCACACAAGTCAAGTTCATTCATTTTTGGCAAGCCAATAACCACATCTTTGTAAACCAAAAGTTTCAACCCGTTAACATTCAAATGTCCATAATAGAAGTGCCAAAAATTAGTCTCATTATGGCCTTTAACAACTAAGGCATTATTACCAACATTTGAAATATCAAGAGGAAACATTTTGTTTTGTTATAGGCACACAAGCTATCGTACGTCCTGATTGTTTGTCTGTAATGTCACATACATTATCATAAAAAACAATTGAGTAGCCACTGGACATCAATTCTCCAACACTTAACAAATTATGAGCCAAAGTAGGGATATATTGCACATTATATAAAAGCTTCACATTACCTTGGACAATTTTTATCTCAATTGTACCTTTCCCTTCAACGTGCACTTGTTTGTCATCTCCTAGTCGCACCCCACTTTTCTGGGACTCATCAAGATCTCTAAATAGAGACTTCAAACATGACATATGATTTGGGTATCCCCTATTAATGAACCACACAACATTCACACTTTCAATTATTTGGGAATTAGCCATAAATAACTTACTTTCTTCTTCCACATTTTGAGTAAAATTGGCTTCCTTTTGCTCATCTTTCTGCTTCATCCAACAATAAACTTCTTCATGGCCAAATTTCTTGCAGTATCGACATTGAATATTGCTCTGTTGAGTTTCTACCTCTGTCGCTACCACTTCGACCCCGACCACGGAAATTGCCTCTGCCATGTCCTTGTCCTGCGGAGTTTTCTGCTTTTCCCTTGAAGGAAAACTCTCACTTACCTGGAATGCCTTCTCTTTAACTTTCTTACGGGACCTATTTAGCCTATCTTCATGAGCTAGCATGGAACTCATTAACTCACCGAAAGAAGAGGTAGATAGGTCCTTAGATTCCTCAATTGCAGTAAAAACATGCTCAAATTTGGTGGTTAAACTTCTCAACACTTCAGACACAACAATATGATTATCAATTTTCTCACCATAGGATCTCATTGTATTAACAATAGCATATGTTCTAAGAAAATAGCCTTGCACAAATTCATTTTCATTCATGAACAATGTTTCAAAATCACATTGGAGAGTTTGTAATTTAACAATACTTACCTTATCATCTGCAAGGTACTCTTGCTTCAGGATCTCCCATTCTTTTTTGGGAATCTCAGATGCTGATATGCGAGGAAAAATTTCATCATCAAGAGCTTTCTGGATCGTGAACAAAGCTTTTGAGTCTCTCGTCCGATGTTCTCTCAACTGGTTTGCATTCCCTTTTGGAATTCCAGTCTCAACTACATCCCATGGTTCTTGAGACTTGAAAAGAGTCTTCATTTTTAGACTCCAAAACTAATAATTTTCCCCTCTAAAAATTGGAATTATGGGCTGCGGCGAAGCTGATGTCCCGTTTCCTGCCATGGAAATTGTCTGATTTCTCTATTTTAAAAAACACCTCTCAATATTTTACTATTTTTCTCTCTTACTATACCAAACCCTTCTTGAGGAAATGATGGATATTAACCTGGAGTAAAGCTCTGATACCAAGAAAGTTGGCAAAAGAGATGAACCACTACACCAATAAGATATTAAGAAACAGAGAGAAAAGCTTAATCGTTTCTTATACTTTAGAAAACAACGATACAAGTTTTAAATAGTACTTGGAAAGTAACAAACCTAGAGAAATAACAGGGCACTAGTTTAGCACTAACCCATGTCCTACTAACTGACTAACATAAACTAATTAGGAATCCTAGAGCTAGTAAACTGGATACATTAGAGACTCATAAAAGTACTGCCACTAACAACACTTAACTTTTGAATCAGTCAACTAACATTTTATTGGTAAATCAAGTACCAAATGGGTTACAAAATGAGTATACTACTTAAATTTCAATTCTATTCTAATTTTATTCTAAAAATCTCTTGATTTATATGTGAAGCAGCTAATATTTTGAAAGGAATCCAAGAGAAAATGGTGGTAATTTCTAATGATCCAGTTGTGAACCGACCTGTGTTAGAGAGTGCACATTTGACTTTCTGCATTTTTCTTGTCTCTGTTGCTTCCTTCTTGTGATGAGAGTTAGGCTTTGACTTTGTTTGGTACCAGTTTATTTGACAGGGGATTAGCATATGAAACAAAGGAACCGTCTTTATGATAATCTTGCGGATGTTAACCAAAAACTCGAGTATCCTTGAGACCTTTTATTTTTATTATTAAAAGAGAAAAGAGAATTTCTTGTTATAATTGTATCTCGTAAACTTTCCAGTGCTAGTTTTCATTTAACTCAGATCAGGCCTCTAAAAAGCATGGCGTTTCTGATGGGGAGGAATCGAAGATTTTGACATGTTAATACTTTGATCTTTTACATGTTAGGTATTGTTTTCCTATTTCATTGTTGTATGGATGCAACTCTACATGATTGCAAATTTCTCTATGAATCTATTGATGAAGTGTTTGCTCTTGTTCCCTGTTATGGAGTTGAGTATGCTTCTAACTGTTGCTATTAGTTGTATTTTAAATTTGACTAGACAGGACGATAAAAGCTATAATTAATTAAAGAACCTTCTATATATGTTAATACTAACAAAAGATGGGAGTAAACCAAATTTGTTTCTTAAATTATTTCCTTCGACGATGAAGATGGTTTATGTTCACTTCTACACAAAGATCTAAGATATGAATCATATGACTACTACTATTAGTTTAACTGATGTTGTTACCAAACTGCAGACTAAAAAGAGCAAGCTAAGAGTTCCCCTCGAGAATGTGTTGGATGAACTAGCTAAACTTAGAAGGGCAACATAAATGGATCAAGAAGAGCATTCTATGGTAATGTCATCACTTTAGTTTTGATCTTATATCGTGCACATAAGAATTTTGATTTCCAGAAGATGATCTTATTGGAGCAGTTTACTTACAGTCGTCATTTACGCTAAATGCAAGTATTTGTCTAGTGGGTTATGCATTGTCTTAAAAGCCATGCCCAACAGTTAAGCAGCCAACAACTCATGTTGCCTAATTTGAACTCATCTTTCTTTTACCTATCTAGTTATTAGCTAGGATTTTCATAAACAATTGAGCAGCCAGCAGCTTCAATTATCCAAAAAATGGAAACAAAGACTTCAATGAATGTAGCATTATTCGTGTGCTAATGCAAAAGCTTCCAGTCATATAATTGAAGGAGTTTAGACCCTATATTGTGGCAAAATCAGTTTCTTCTTAGTTAATACATTTCTGTCCCATTTAGAAATCACATTCCTCTGAAAATCTTATATTTTTCGATGCAGTTCTGTTCTTCATCTTCCCTTCTTGACGTTTAACTCGATGTGCTCTGTCAACACACCTAAATCAGTAGCTGTTATGAAATATCATAGGTCTAACATTGTACATAACCCATAAACTTAAAGATTCAAGCCCTGATCATTAAGGGGTAATCTTATACCATTGAGTTTGTGCGCGAAATGGGGTCCTTAATAAAGTCGTGTAAGGTCCTTATTTCCAAGCATTTTTTGTGAGTATATCAACTTATTTCTCACATTAAGCTCCTTTCTAGGAGAGGAGCATATAAACAAAAGTTTTTCCAGGACATAAAAACTACCAAATTACGGCTTTGTGAAATTTAACGAAACCCCACGAATTACAATATTCTCATATTAAAAGAACACTAATGAGAACACAAGTACAAAAAGGGGATTGTTGGGAACTTCAAGGACCATCATACTCCATAGCGCAAATATTCCAATTTCATAATCAAATATAGGTATTACAATCATATGAAAGAGTAATACTAAACAAAAGACTTATAGAATGTTGTTTTTGGTCCTACATTCTTGGACCTTTTCACTAAGCTCAATGAGAAAATAATTTGAACATTAAACTGGAAGATCTAGGATCCGAATAAAGCCCAATTTCATCACCAAATCCGAATGTGCGGTCGTTGAACAATTCCATGCATGAAAGAGAAAAGTCATCAGTGTACTGTTTCCTTAAGAAAACATTTTCACCTTCATACTTCTTAGGGACATTCTCCTCAGTTAAATCCACACGTTAACACACACCCTGCATCCATTTTCCAAACTTTTGGTCATGTCCAAAGTCCAGTATCGATGAATGTACTCAAACATCTGGATAAATGGAATCATCAGCATTCCTACAACAATCTCATTACTGGTATTTTTTTTCGTTATCTGCCATGGGTTTTCCAGATCGATTTTTGGGGCAAGGTATAAGTCCCTTATCTCCACTAGTTCTCGAGTCACTACCCGTGGAGTGTTGTTAACTTTGGAAGCTTCTTCTTCAGCTTTTGATGAAAATAAATCGTAAAAGTAGGTATTCTATAGGGTAAGCAAAGGCTTTTGATCAGACATTGAAAAAATGTGGAATGATACAATTTCCAAGAAAATACCACATTGAAAAAGAGAGATGTGTTAACTCATCTATTTATAACATTACAAATTAGGTTTTAATTTCAAATCCAACTTTGAGCGGGAATAAAGAAAATTATTATTTATTTATTTTCCTATTGTGAACCTATACTGAACATAAGCTATCAATACCTGCTAGCCTGCTTGACAGGCTATCCACATCGGCTTTGGAAATAAATGAGCTTACTCAGGTTAGGCTTGTTAGGAGTGAAATAAGCAGGTGTCACGAGAAGCTAGCAAAGAAAACTTCGATAGATCATGAGTAAGAAGACAAACGACACTACAACATTTTAGGCCTATGGTACGGCCACCCCAGTAAAGTGTAGCCTAAAGTAGCAAAAAGTGTGGCCTTTGATAAAAGGCTACACTTTTGGACTTTAAGTAACGTTTTTTAGGGGGTGGCTAAAAGAAGCGTAACATTTGACAATAGGCAATACTTTTGAATTGTCGTCATAGCAGCTACACTTAAAAAGTGTGGCCAAAGAGGTATAAAGGGAACGCTTTGTAGTAAATCATTAGCAACACTTTTTGTTTGATTATACTACGCTTAACAGTGTGGCCTTTGCTTCGTTATTGGTCACATTTAAAAAGTGTTTCCTTTATATCTCATCTAGAACAACACTTATAAAGTGTGGCAATGCTATGTAGAATTTTTGTAGCCACAATTTTTCATTTTTAAGAATAATAATTTTTATTTGCATATACTCAATAATCACATAATTAAATATATAAGTGATCTAAAGCACAAAATTAGCTAATAAATAATTCGAAGGTATATATTTCGAAAAACATGTCTTGTACAACCAATACTTAGAAAGTGGTTGCTTAAAGATCTCTACTATCAATAAATTCCACAAAATAAAATGCATTCAAACAAATATGACAATAGTACAAAAACTCTTCATCGTTCAATACAATAGATTGAATTTACTTCTAGACACTATTCAAATTCAATTACCGGCATTTTCCTGCACATTCAAAATAAACTTATAAGTTAGTGAAATAAATCATGTATTTAATATGCTCAATACTAGTCATTATTAACAATACTTCCTAGCCCATTCCCAATGTAGTGGTACTGTCATGAAAAATAGACTCTTAGTTGCTATTAAAACATGTATTTCATATGCTAATAATATGTGACAGTAAGTAACTATAATAAAATCCATAAATGTTGCAAAGAAATTGTGCACACCTTCTCGTAGTTGTTGAATATAGCTGGAAACAAGAAAAAGAGGAAACTAAATTTACGGTGAAACGATGACCAATTACGGTGAAAATGTGTCTAAAGTAAGAATGTAAAATTAATCAATTGTACCTGATTCCACTTTTTGGTTTGGGCTCAACACGAAGTGGCAAGGGAATTGATGCAGGTGAAGAATCAACAACAACTTTGTTTAAATTAGTTAAGCAATACATAGAAGATGTAAATGGTTATACAACTTGATAACTGTACATATCTGTCATTTTTGCGGGGATAAGTTATATGTGTTCCCAACTTTCGCAAACCACAACACATCCTCTCTGCTGGCAAAGCTAAAATCCGATGGGGTAAATCATCAAATCAACCTTTTTAATAACTCTATGTGTAAATGAAATTCCACTAACATCAATTAGCACTTCTCGTCACCATTCAATATTATTATGCAGAGGTATCAAAGAAGGAACAAACAGAAAGGGTATATTGAATGCTTGAAATGCACGTTTTTCAGTTCATCGCAAAAGGCATTCCACATCCTCCTCGGTTTCCATCTGCTCCTTGAGATAAAGCAAGTCATCGCTGTCCAGGGCTGCAATATACAACTTAAACAAGGTTCAAGAAACTATTCCACATTTCCATTATATGGACAAACTAATGTAACAAAAGGAAAAAAAGAGGAAGTAATTATTGTGAGCAAGAATCTATACCG